ACCAGACGCCATTCCCACCTGCTGGGAGGGATGATGGGCTTGATGTCCAGGTCAGGAAGGGGGAGGAGCTTTCAGTGCCTGTGGCTGGTCCTCAGCATTGCTACTGCCAACAAGATGGCCTTAAGACAGAGCAGGCGGGCAGCCACCAGTACTCTGCTCAGCCTGGAGCTTGGACCCCGAGGTGCCAGGGCTGGCTGCCGCAGCTTCAGCACTGCTTGCCTGGCAGATCACAATTAATGCTTAATCCTCAATTGGGTGATCTCTCCTGCCAGTCTGGCAAGCTTGGGGCTGAGGAGGAGTTGCCCCAGCCCCGCAGCTTGTCTGGGAGCCATGGCCCACACTCCCTCCCACCACCCTCCACTGGCCGGCACAGATGGCATTGCTGCCTGAGAGGTCTGTCCCCTCTGCAGGGGCTGGGGAGAGTGATGGACAGGTGCCAGGGGAAGACCAGAGCAGGCCCAAGGTCACCTTCCCATGGGCCCCAGCTTGTCAGGCCCTGTGCCTGGAGCAAGGGAGGGGGGATGGTTGGGGGGATGAACTTAATTGGCTGCTGTGTGTCTGCTGGCATCAGAAGTGCCCACAGTTCCCCTAAATCTCACACGTGCCCTCCCACCCCAGAAAGGCTGTTAGCTCAGAAGTTCCAAACAGACACAGCCGGAGCAGGCAGCAGGCCTGGGAGGAACAGGAAGCAGGCAGCGACTGTGCAAGCCAAGAGCCCCTTCCCCGCCTAAAGGGGGCACCTGCCACCCAACTCCACTGACTGTTGCCAGCTGGAGCAGGCTAGAGCTACGACATCTTCTGGTTTTCCAAGAGAAGCTGTCAATTGAGATTTTTACCTTAAGTCCACTTTAAATAGTTGGAGTATAATATACATTCAGTAACGTATACGAATGTAAAGCTCAGTGGATTTTTACATGTGTATGCACCAGGTAACCATCACCCAGATAAAGATATTACATCCACTTATTGTATTTTAGAGTAGTTCTAGGTTTACAGAATTATTTTGAATATTGGACGGGGCGCTCCTAAATACCTCACACCAAGCTTCTCCCATGTGTTAGTCAAGGTTCTCCAGAGAAACAGAACCAATAGGAGGGGTGTGCATGCGTGCGTGCGTGCGTGCGTGTGTGTGTGTATGTGAAGATATTTATTGTAAGGAATTGGCTTGGGTAATTATGGGCACAGAGCAGTCCCCAGATCTTCATTGAGCAAGCTGGTGACACAGGAGACCTAGTGATACATTTCCAGCCCAAGCCCGAAGGCCCAAGAACCAGAAAAGTCAATGTTGTAAGTTCCAGTCTGAAAGCAGAAGACTGATGACCCTGCTCAAAGGTCAGGCAGGCAAAATTCCCTCTCGCTCAGCCTTTTTTTTTTCCATTCAGATCTTCAACCCACATTGGGAAGAGCCATGTGCTTTACTTAGTCCACAGATTCAATGGATGTTAACCTCATCCAGATACACCCTCACAGACACACCCAGAATCATGTTTGACCGAAGGTCTGGGCACCCCATGACTCAGTCAGGTTGACACACAAAATTAACCACGACACTCTATTAACATCTTACGTCAGAATGGTACCTTTGTCACTGCTGATGAACTAATACTGGCACATTAACTGAAGTCCACATATTATGCAGATTTTATCACCTTTTCCCTTGTTCTGTTCCAGAGTGCCATCCAGGACACCATGTTACATTAGGCATCACGTCTCCTTAGGCTTCTCTTGGTCATGATGGTTTTACAGAATTTCCTTGTTTTTTTAAATTATCTTGACAGTTTTTTAGAAATTTTAATTTATTTGTTTGTTTATTTATTTATGGCTGCGTTAGGTCTTCGTTACTGCACACGGGCTTTTTCTAGTTGCGGCGAGCGGGGGCTACTCTTCGATGCCGTGCGCGGGCTTCTCATTGCCGTGGCTTCTCTTGTTGCAGAGCATGGGCTCTAGGTGCGCGGGCTTCAGTAGTTGTGGCACGCGGGCTCGGTAGTTGTGGCTCGCAGGCTCTAGAGAGTAGGCTCAGTAGTTGTGGCGCATGGGCTTAGTTGCTCCGCGGCATGTGGGATCTTCCCGGATCAGGGCTCAAACTTGTGTCCCCTGCACTGGCAGGCGGATTCTTAACCACTGCGCCACCAGGGATTTCCCTCTTGACAGTTTTGAGGAGGACCAGTCAGGTATTTTATAGAATGTCCCTAAATTGGGATTTTTCTGATGTTTTTCTCACGATTAGAACGGGGTTCTCATCCCAACATATGAAGGGTGCATACTATCAACATGATACCACTGAGGATGTTGACCTTGATCACCTGGCTTAAGGTAGTGTTTGTCAGGTTTCTGTACTGTAAGATTACTCTTTTTCTTTCTCCTGTTACATACTATACTCTGGAAGGAAGTCACTATACACAGCCCGCGCTTAAGGGGGGTGGAGCATTATAATTCACCTCACTAAGGGCTGAGTTTCTACATAAATTACTTGAAATTCTTCTGTCCGGGAAGTTTGTCTCTTCTCCATTTATTTATTTGCGCAATCATTTTTACATCAATATGGACTCATAGATATTTATTTTATACAAGTTATAATCTAGTACTATTTTTTTAACATCTTTATTGGGGTATAATTGCTTTACAATGGTGTGTTAGTTTCTGCTTTATAACAAAGTGAATCAGTTATACATATACATATGTTCCCATATCTCTTCCCTCTTGCATCTCCCTCCCTCCCACCCTCCCTATCCCACCCCTCCAGGAGGTCACAAAGCACTGAGTGCTATGCGGCTGCTTCCCACTAGCTATCTACCTTACGTTTGGTAGTGTATATATGTCCATGCCTCTCTCTCGCTTTGTCACAGCTCACTCTTCCCCCTCCCCATATCCTCAAGTCCGTTCTCTAGTAAGCCTGTGTCTTTATTCCTGTCTTACCCTCAGGTTCTTCATGACTTTTTTTTTTCTTAAATTCCATATATATGTGTTAGCACACGGTATTTGTCTTTCTCTTTCTGACTTACTTCACTCTGTATGACAGACTCTAGATCTATCCACCTCATTACAAATAGCTCAATTTCGTTTCCTTATTTTATTTTTTTATTTTCTTGCTCAAATTGCTCTACCTTTGGCCATTGGAAGCTCTTTCAGTTGGCTCCTGTGTCCCTCTGACATACCGCCATTATTGTGGCTGTTTGGGTTTGGAGGTTTTTATTTCATTTTAGCATTTTCTTACTTTCTGGCACTACTAGATGCTTCAGAATCATCTTGTATATTTCCTGCCCCAGTCCTAGAATCTGCCATTTCTCCAAGGAACCCTGCTTCATTTTATTGGAGAGTGGTATTCGAAACCAAGATCTGGGTGCAAGCTTGCTTCTAGGCCCTCTCAGCTGATAGAGTGATGAGATATATATGTACACTAACCTGTGAACATAGAAATTTTAAAATATTTCTGTATGTAACCAACTGTATTTATATCAAGCTAAACATGAGTTCCTATTGATACCTCCAACTCTAATCCGTTACCACATGGATCATTCTAGCCTCCTCCTCCTCGCTTACCTGTAACTTCTCATTCCAACAGTGAGAAATCATCCACTCTACACTGACATAATTTTTGATTCCAGTGTACATGTGTAGTGGTTTCCGAATTGTTAACTCATACCCCCATGGGAAACCACGTCATCAACTAGGGTCCAGTGCTTATGTGCAGTGCTTTTAGTCTTTTTCTTACAGACACCACTCATTTTCAGACTAGCACCTTATTCTCCCACTCCCTTCACTGAAGCTGTTTCATACATTTGTGATACAGTTTGATTCTTTTGTCATATTCTGCATTCCATCCTGGGATCCCCTGACCTCCTAAATGATTTTTTAAATCATTAAAAAATGTTCGTGATAGAAGCTCACTCTTTGACAAATGCTTAAGAGGAGAATGAAACAGTAAGCACTTTATGAATATTCACTTAATCCACACAACAACCCTAAGAGATAGTTATTATTAGCGTCCCCATTTTTCAGACGGGGAAGCTGAGGCCTATTGAGGTAACTTGCCCAAGGGCAAATCGCTAGCTGAGGTGGTGTGACATTCGAACAGTCAGTCTGACTCCAGATGGTGCTGTAATCCATGATCCAGGACGGCGCATGGTACAGGGCCCGGCATGCAGTTAAGTATTCAAGGTTAGCTGTTCCTGCTATTGTCATTATGAGGCACCGGCGTGGGGCCTTGGGGGGTGGGGGGTGGGGTGCAGGTTGAGGAGTCTTTGAGGTCGCCCTTGGACCTTACACCAGCCTAGACCCGAGGTCCAGGCAATTAGGAGGAAGAGGCACATCAACAGCGTTGGTGACGGACCCGTTGCCATGGGAACAGACGGATGCCTCAGGAGGGCGCATGCGCCGATCGAGGACAGGTTGCTGAACCGGTGAAAGGTGACGTAAAAGCGCACGGGGTGGGGCGCAGGGTTGGGAACGTCAAAGCCCTGCGTCCTCCGGCACTCAGAGCTGAGGAAAGGCGCGCGCGCGCGCGCGCGCGCGGCGGCGACGGCGGCGCCGGCGACAGCAGCGCAGCTGGACCGGGACCGGGCAGCGGGAAGCTGACGTACGAAGCAACGTGAGTGAGGCGCGAGGGCGGCACCCGAGCCCGGGAAGCCCGGCTCGGCGCGAACCGCGGCGGACCAGACCCAGGTCCAGGCTTCCGAGGCCCCGCCTCTCGGGTTTTGGGACTAATCGGATTGAGAGCGCGTCGGCCCGGGCCGCGAACTCGCCAATTGCGGAGGGCGTCGGCCATCGCCCAATCCGAAGCAGACAGGTGCGAGGTCCGGAAGGCGGAGACCAATCAGCAGCGGTTGCGGCCTGTTGGGGCCGGTCTCGGCCAATGAGAAGGCCCGAATGACATCTTCGCGCGCCAATCGGGAGTGAAGGAGCGTTCGTGCCCGCCCGTCCTTCCGGCCTGAGCTCTATTTACCAGGGGCGTGCTGCCGGCTTGCCAATCAGAGCGCGGCTGAGCGGCCAGGCAGCCAACCCGGGAGAAGCGGCCGGCCGGCGTCTGCCGCACCCAGGAGTTGGGGATGTCCTACAAACCCATCGCCCCCGCCCCCAGCAGCACCCCCGGCTCCAGCACCCCTGGGCCTGGCACCCCGGTCCCTACAGGTGAGGATCCAGCTCCGACCCTGCTTGCCTGCCCGGGCGGTCGAGGTCTCGAAGAGAAGACGGCCTGAGTTCTGCAATACTGGGCCTGCCGCCTACCCTCGCTGAGCCTCAGTTCGCGGGCCTGTGAAGTGGGCGTGGTCACGTAAGGGCTTGTTGGTGAAGCGCAGGGGGAGGGGTTTGTCCTGAAGTTTAGCAGCCTGGAATGAAGCCCTTTGGAGGGAATCGGGCGAATCTGATCCGGGGCTTGGAACGTCGGGGCGAGGCGTCCCTGCCCCGTGCTGACCTCTTACTGGCGCATGTTGCAGCCGGAAGTGTCCCATCGCCGTCGGGCTCGGTGCCAGGAGCCGCTGCCCCTTTCAGACCACTGTTTAACGACTTTGGACCGCCCTCCATGGGCTATGTGCAGGTGAGTGGAGCCGAGGGATTGCCTATGGATGGGGACTGGGGGCCCCTTCTTGGCCTGAGCTCACTGCCCTGTTCTCTTTTGACATAGGCAATGAAACCACCTGGCGCCCAGGGCTCCCAGAGCACTTACACCGACCTGCTGTCGGTCATAGAGGAGATGGGCAAAGAGATCCGGCCCACCTATGCTGGCAGCAAGAGTGCCATGGAGCGCCTGAAGAGAGGTAAGTGAGGCCAGGCCCACCGCCCCTGCCCGGGAGACAAACACTGGACATTGCTTCACTAGGTAGGGAAGGAAAGACATCTGGAGGCCACCTGAGCCAAGCCTAGACTAGGGCCAGGATCACTATCCAGAGAGGCGGGGTTTTTTTGGCTTGTTTTTTGTGTTTTTTTGGCCACGCCGTGCAGCATGCGGGATCTTAGTTCCCCGACCAGAGATCGAACCCATGCCCCCTGCATTGGGAGCATGGAATCTTAACCACAGGACCACCAGGGAAGTCCCCCAGAGAGGCGTTTTAAATTGAATTGACATTGAGTTAATTTCCAGGGAAGGACCTGGGAGTTTATATTTCAACAGGGCAAATTTGAGGATTAACCTCTAAACCTCTAATCTCATCCAGCCCCTCATTAGATTATAGTCCCTTTTACTGAAAGGGAAGGGGGTGGAGAGGGAGGGTGTTTTCCACTGGCGGGTGAACTTGGGACTGTGGAGGGTCGCTGAGATCCTGTATGTTACTTCCGCATCCACACCCCAGGCATCATCCATGCCCGGGCCCTAGTCAGAGAGTGCCTGGCAGAGACAGAGCGGAACGCCCGCACGTAACAGGACTCGACTCCGCCTCAGCATCTGGACCTTTCCTGGCCACTGCAGAGCACCTGCTTCTCCCTGGCCTTCACCCCGAGTTGCACTTCCCATCCTGGGCTTCCTGTCCTGTGTCCTTTGGTGGGTGCCCTCCAGGAACCAGTGGGCGGCTCTCGCTCCAGTCGGCAGCACTAACTGGAAACCCCCAAAAGAGTTAGCAGTGAGGTCACTGTGAATCCCACCCATGACCTGCCAGCAGTGTTGATCCAACTGGAGCTTTCTCCTTTCTGTGGCCCCCACCACTCAGCACTTACCCAGGACTTCTCACCACTTTTCCCAGATCCCTTCTCCCCAGCAGGGCCTCAGAAGGCCTGTCGCCTCCCTGCCCTGTCTCTTGGGCCATGGCGACCCTTTTCTCAGTGTGTCTTTTGCTAAATATGCCCTTTTTGTATAAATAAAAGATAATTTGGAGTTGTTCTCTCAGCGCGTAGTTTTTCTGAGTCTGGTGCTTTTGCTAAGCCTGGATGGGTGGAAGGTGGTGTGCAGTGGGTGGGAGAGAGGCCCACGGAGCCTGGCTTTGCCTTGCCTCCACTGTCCATTGACCTTGAGTGGAACCCTGCCCTTCTCTGGCCCTCAGCCTTCCAGCTGTAAGTAGTGGAAAGGGTTGAGCTCCAGTAGCTGAGCGCCCTGCCCTCCTTCACATGATGCCACCAGGGGGCAGCGCAGGGCCTTGGCTGCCTTCACAGCTGGAGGGCACTGTCTCCAGCCTGAGCCTAGAGGGTTCTTTCTCTGGACTAGCAGTGCCTAGCTGGTGGAAATGCCAGTTCACTTAAGCCACACCCTCACATGCCTTAATGCCCTAGCATCCTAAGCTCGGAATCAGCCCTGGAGGCTCTGAATACACCCCATCTCTGAGTCCTCAGAGAGGCAAGAAAGGGAGCATTGCTGCTTCCCTCCCCACAGGACCTGAGAAACAGTCAGGGAGAGAGAACTGGTTTCCAACATGGGTGAGACCCAGCTTGGTGCTGCCATACACTGTCCCAGTGCCTTGTAGCTGACTGGGTGTGGTCCCACGAGCCCAACCCTAGGCTGTCTCAGCCTTTGCGCAGGATCTGGTGGCAATTGACCAGACTTGTGGACCCAGAAGATATAGGTGGGGAAAGCCATGGGTCCCCATGCAGGGACTAGCGCAAAGATTTGGAGTGACTGCAGGCCTCTGCCTGTGTGTGTGTGGCAGAATGACCCTAGAGGTCTGGGGCATTGGAACCCCACCAGCTAGGTAGAGGCAAGTCAGAGACCAGCTTCTGGCTGCACTTTGGACGGTGAGGCATTTCCCCCACCCTGGGCCCCAGGATCCAAGGGCCTGGGAAGTAGGGAATGGGACTCTCTCATATTTCCATAGCACACAGGAGGGCTGGGCCAGCGTGGAGGTGGGAACCCAGAGTGCTTTGGGGATCCCAAAGAACACAGCGGGACTGAGAAGCGCCAGCCTTTGGAGAAGGGCCTCTGCTTCCCCCGCCGCCTAAGGGAAGGAAGAATGGGGCGGTCCTCCTCCGCCGCGGGCGGGGCTGCCCGGACCCGGCCCGGGTGGGGGGGAGGGCCGCCGGGCCCAGGAAGGGGGCGGGGCGGCCGCAGTGACGCGGCGGGCGACGGGAAGGGACAGCAGGGGCACCGGCGGGCAGACCTGGAGGAAGGTCGGGGCCATGGGCCCGCGCTTCGGCTCCAGAGGGTCCGGCCACCGCTGGAATCCGAGGCCGGGGCTCGGGGCGCTGGGGGCTCTGACCCGCCGCCCGTCCGCCCCCGCCCGTACCGGGTGAGGGGCGCCCGCCCTAAACTAGAGGTGAGCCGGGACGTTGGCGGGCGGGCCAAGAGCACGGCGGGGGACGGGGACGCCGGGGAGCGGAGGGAAGTGGAGACAACGGGGGCCTCTCGCCTGCTCAGTGGGTGCGAGGTGTAGATAGGGGCTGCAGCGAAGCCGGGGCGCAGGTGGGCGGAGGGGGGGGTCTCTCAGGGCGGGGGCCCGTGGGATACTTCTGCCTCAGCCCGAAGAGGGGTCAGCCCTCGGGAAGGATGATGGGGCGGCTGCGTAGACAAGTGCCGGAGGTCCAGAAAGGATGCTGGGAAGGGGAGAGTTGGGGACTGGGCTGCCGGCCAGGGTGGGAAAAGCAGGTCTAGGGGGCGGAGGTGTTAGTTATCTGGTCTTTGAAGGTAGGTTCGGGGGCGGGGGGTGGGGAACACTGACAGAGATGCTGAGAGGAGGGGTGCACGGGGCTGCTCCGCGTAGAGACACCCCGGGGGACAAGGTTCTAAGTGGACGTCCAAGAGCGGGGGATACGGGACCGACTCGGGGAAAGGGATGCAAGGGGCGGGCCCCGAGGGGCCGGTTGTGGAAGGCGGGCCCGGAAGGAGGGGCCCGGGGGTTCCTGGGGGCGGGTCCCCGAGGGATGCCGTTCCGAGGGGCTTGGACGCGGACGCGGCCGAAGAGGCAAGGCTGGCCAGCCAGCCCGCCGGCCTGAGCCCGCGGCTCCGGGGGGCCATCGTCAGCGCGCGGTTGCCGTGGCGATGGGCGGGCGGCGGGCGGGGGCTGCGCGAAAAAGAGGTCAGCGCTCAGCCTCGCCGAGGCTCCCGGCCCCTCGCGGCGCTGGCTGCAGAGCTGGGCTCGCCTCTGCCTCCCCTGCGGCGAGCCCGGGCATGGGGT